TCCTCTCCCCCCCCCTTGTCCCCCCTCCAGGTACCCGCCGCAGGTCATGGAGAAGGCGCTGGAAATGGCCGAAGGCATCCAAGTGACCGGCGCGCCTGTCCGCACCACGAGAGATGAACTGGTTGCCAAGGTGAAGAAAAGAGGCATATCAAGTAGCAATGGTTAGCAGATCATAGCTGTGACAATACATAGGAGTCTAGAAAATGCTTGTTTTCGAATGTTCTCGGTTCACCTCGGGCTTAGAAAGTAGTCGAAATAATTTACTTCTAAACCTCCTTGTTAATCGTTTCCCCTCTCTCTGCTGTTTTTTCCTCATGTAATACCTGTAAAATAGATGTAATGCATAAGTATTCTGTTGGTAACGTAGAGCTCTTATTTCGAATTTCTACAACTGGTGCACTTCAAGCTGATGATTTTTTTAATGCGATGTAAACTATTGTCCTCCAGCTTAAATGTATTATTCTTACTTTGCCTTTAGCGCTAGTCAGACCTTGTTGCTTTGTGAGAAGCTTAGTTTCTTAAAGAAATTCTTAAAGTGGTATTCTAAAGATGTTTTTATGATATTAGTAGACAAAATACACTTTTTTTTTTTTTTTTAAGGCCAGATAGTCTACTTAATGTAGTTCGGTCACTTTTGGTTTGGACCTCAGGAATACAAATACATACCTGCCTACAGGTCCCAAACCAAAACCTGATATCGTGCACCTGAGTATTTTTAGTTTTTTGTCAAAAAAATACTAAAATACTCTGAAGTAGGTTAATACTTGAAATTGCAGTTCAAGATATATTCCTAATATATACCTTTTAAATTCACAGAGATTATTGCTAGAAGTTTTTAGAAAATAGATAAATTGTCTCTAGATGGATATTTCGTAGTGCAGAAATTAAAGAGGATAACATACTTCACTTGTTTTGCAGAAGGGGTAGAGGAGCCCTCCAAGAAGCGAGCTGTTGAGAAAAGCAAAGATTCTAAGGATACTGGAAAGCATGTGAAAACAACCAAGGCAGAAGCCCCAAAGGAAACAGAGAGCACATTGCCAAAAAAGCAGGAGAAAGATACTAGCAAAGATCCAGAAAGCTCCCAGTCAACTTGCAGTTCAACTCAAGAAATGGTCACAGCATCAGACATAGAAACAGAAGGAAAACCTGCTAATGCTGAAAATACTACTGAGCAAAATCCATCTCCATCTGAAAAAGAGTCAGGAGAGAAGCCTTGCTCAAATCCACCTAAGGAAAGCAAGTGTGAAAATGTGCCGTCACCTGAAAAGAAAACTACAGTAAGTGCAGCGCCACCAGCTGCCAAGAGTGCCCCGCAGGCAGAGGCGGGGGGGGGGGGGGGGGGGCGGCCGGCCGCCGGGGGGCGGCGC